AGTAGCATCCTTGCTCCTAGTAGTAAGGCCAGGAGCCCCTAGTAGCTGCTTGTTACTAGTGGTAAGAATGCTCCTAGTAGCGATGCCAGGAGCCCCTAGTAGCATCCTTGCTCCTACTAGTAGTCCAGGAGCCCCCAGTAGCTTCTTGTTACTAGTAGTAAGAATGCTCCTAGTAGCGATGCCAGGAGCCCCTAGTAGCATCCTTGCTCCTAGTAGTAAGGCCAGGAGCCCCTAGTAGCTTGGTCCTAATCGCATTCTCGTGCCAAGTTGCAAAGGTTGCTTCGCCTTTGGGGTCCACGAGTCTTCCTTTGGCCACGGAGCTCAAGTAGATCGGCGTGGCACACGCCGCACCGAAGAGCGAACAGCTCAGGTCTGCGGCCGGGAGGATCTGGGTCGGACTACCCGTTCACAAGAGGGTACTAAGAGTATAAGTATAAGAGGAAAAGCTACGGAGACATCAGAAAATGGAGTCGTACAGTCTGGATATGTCTGGATCCTCTCTTGCTTTCTGCCATTTTCTTGAGCCCACCAGCCCCCATCAGTGCACCTATCTCTGAGACATCGCGCAGGATTCGGGGTCGGAAGAGCCAGGGGTCAAAGGCAGTGCGGTTCCGGCAGATGGTGTCTGCCTCCCCTGGCACACGCAGGAGGCGGCACAACATGACCCACTTTTGAAGCGATCAACTTTTGAACGGCGAACAGAGTTTGCGTGCAGTGGGCGATGTGTTCAACCCTCGCGAAAGAATGGAAAAGTAGGGAGCAGCACTGAGGGGGTATGAAGAACCGATCTAAGAACCATCTGTGTTTTCCAGATGGAAAAAGGGTAGGTCGAAGGGAGAATGGTCCGCTACACTAGTCGAAGGAAGTCTCAGCTGAAGGGCTGACTACGGCGAGGCTGGTTCTGCAACCCATAGGCCCATAGGCTTGCCAACATCAGCTTCATTCTTCAGCGACAAATCCCGACTTCGGTCCACTTCAAGCCCCTCCCTGTTCCTAGTAGCGATGCCCTTTGCTCCTAGTAGCATCCTTGCTCCTACTAGTAAGGCCAGGAGCCCATGGCAAGGCCACCGGAGAACCCAACAGATGCGTCACAGGGAGGGTCATTGTTTACTCCGCTTATTGGAGTTCCGATGGAAAATTCCCTGGACCTGGTCATTGTTTGGGCCCTCTATGGCACCTATATGTGCAAAACATTCTGGCCTAGGCCGACCATGTCGAATGCCTGTCACGCTGGATCCTCAGGACGTAGCATCCTTGCTCCTTGTTCCTAGTAGTAAGGCCAGGAGCCCTAGTAGCGTCCTTGTTCCTAGTCCCCTAGTAGCGTCCGTGTTCCTAGTAGCGATGCCAGGAGCCCCCAGTAGCGTCCTTGTTCCTAGTAGCGATGCCAGGAGCCCCTAGTAGCGTCCTTGTTCCTGGTAGCGATGCCAGGAGCCCCCAGTAGCGTCCTTGTTCCTAGTAGCGATGCCAGGAACGCCTAGTAGCGTCCGTGTTCCTAGTAGCGATGCCAGGAGCCCCCAGTAGCATCCTTGTTCCTAGTAGCGATGCCAGGAGCCCTAGTAGCGTCCTTGTTCCTAGTAGCGATGCCAGGAGCCCCTAGTAGCGTCCTTGTTCCTAGTAGCGATGCCAGGAGCCCGCAGTAGCGTCCTTGTTCCTAGTAGCGATGCCAGGAGCCCCTAGTAGCGTCCTTGTTCCTAGTAGCGATGCCAAGAGCCCCTAGTAGTGTCCGTGTTCCTAGTAGCGATGCCAGGAGCCCCCAGTAGCGTCCTTGTTCCTAGTAGCGATGCCAGGAGCCCCCAGTAGCGTCCTTGTTCCTAGTAGCGATGCCCTTTGCTCCTAGTAGCATCCTGTCTGGCAGTTTGGGGACGGCCTCCCATGATGTAGTCCCAGCTGCCCTCCGAGATCCGCTTCTCTGCGGCTTCTTCCAGCTGCTCTGCCGTCGCCAGCGCATCCATCGGCGGCGCTCCGGCATTCGTGGCATCCGGCATTGGGATGTGAGAGCGCAACTAATAGCTTCCTTGTTACTACTAGTAAGGCACTTGTTACTAGAAGCGATGCACTTGTTTCTAGTAGCTTCTTGTTTCTATTAGTAAGGCACCTGTTACTACTAGCGAGGCACTTGTTACTAGTAGTAACAAGAAGCTAGGATGGTGAGAGAAGTTGAGGGTTGGAGAGATATACCAAACGTAACGTCCGAATTGGTCATCCAAGTCACAGCAAAGCAAAGACATATGTGTTGCTGTTGCTGCAAACTTTTTGAGGGGTGGTTCTTCGTCAGAAGTGTTGGGGCAGTCTCAAGGTTCCTTGGTTTGATGGGCCAGGCAATGGCAAGAGAGGGTTCGGAACACTGCCCAGCATTGCTGTTATGTGGGAGGCCATTGCTATTAGTTTGGGAACAGCATACAGCTTAGTTTCTGCCGCAGGGCAGTGGGTAGTGCGTCCCGGAGCGTTCCACAAGCTAGGAGGTCCCGGCTGTAAAGCATGCGTTTGCTCTTGTTGGCAACTATGGAACTTAATGAGAAAAATGATCGGACCCTGATCTCTGATTTCTATTTATGCGAGATACACTTTTCGATCCACTCGGTTGGATGAACATTCCCTGTTTGAACCTGGCTTCAGAGACCGTTCCGCTCTTGGCGTCTGGCTGGTAGGGAATTGAGACGAGGTGTTGATACTAGTAGCTTCTTGCTCCTAGCAGCGATGCCAGGAGCTACTAGTAGCTTCTTGCCTTGCCATGGTCAAGGCCTAGGTCGATGAACCCAAGATGAAGAACACTAGAGTTTGGCTGAGCAACCCTCGCTGGTGTGTTTCTTGGATGTGAGGAAACAGTGTCTTCAAAACCTGAACACCATTGGGCCACCACTCCAATCTCCATGCCCACAACATCCTGTCCTCCAGTCCCAGAATGCTGTGGTAGGGCGGCTGGTACCGCGCCTGTCGCCTGCAACAAGTCGTCCGAACCAAGAAAAACGAGATGCCAGGAGCCCCTAGTAGCATCCTTTGCTCCTAGTAGCGATGCCAGGAGCCCCTAGTAGCGATGCCAGGAGCTCTTTGGGCACCTGCAAATGAGCAAAACCCGGTGATGCATCATTGACTTAGGAAACAAGCAACATATCGTCTTATTCACAAACAACCTGATGAGCAATCGCTTGGTCGCTGCCCACCCAGATGCAGAAAGACACCTACTTCTCGCCTACTCTTTGAGTAGAAGTATCGCTGCTTCTGTGCAGGCATCACACAGACCTGCCATGCCGGTGGCTGGACTCGACATGAAGCTCCCGTCGGGATCAACCCTTCTGTAGTCCTGAACTAGTAGCTTCTTGCTACTAGTGGCGATGGCCTCCAACCTAATAGCGATGGCCTCCACCTAGTAGCTTCTTGCTATATACTAGTTTGGCACATCAGGTACTCAACTTAACAACGTACAAACATGCACTTCCAGAGTCTCTCGCGCTCTATGTTTTTCTTTGGAAAGGCGTTCCAGCATCACATCGAACTCCACGTGCCGCGGACCGCAGCACACCCGGCCCCCGCTCGCCTCCCAGTCTAAATCCTGAAGGATTTTCGAGGCCTCGGATCGAAAGACGACGCCCAGCTTCCCGCAGCTTGGTCTGAAACGGCTTGGTCTGCTCCGACCGGTGCTTGGTCTGCAAAGAAGTGAGTCTTTGAGTCTTGGTCTTTCATCTAGGGCTCAGTAGAGATCCTCCAAATCACCTTGTGGCCTCACGGGGAAGTAAATCACTATGTTCCTAGTAGCGTCCTTTGTTCCTAGTAGTCCGATGCCCTTTGTTCCTAGTAGCTTCTTGTTACTAGTTCATGTAAAGTACAACTACTCAGAGTGAAATTTCATCAAACCCCCTCCTTCTCACGGTTTGCTACGACGTTGACCCACTTGGCACGAGCTCCAAAAACATCGAAGGTCGCCACCAAGGTCGACTCATCGACACAAACTCCTCGTGAAACCTTTGTGTCTCGGGTTTTGGGAAAAGCCCGAAAACAACTTAATGAAGGGAGAGGCAGCTCTTACTTAAGCTAGTATGGACGCAGGATAGCTCACGCACTAATGATTTGGTTTCTAGATTTTTAGGGAAACTTAACATTAGAACTTGTAATAGTTACTCCTCGCGATGCCCCAGGCTCTAGGCTCTCCCCGCTCTGCCCCCAGGGCGCCACACTGCCTCGGGCGGCAACTCCGGGGCAGTCTGGCGCACAGAGCGACACATGGTGTGCCAGACACGTGGCAAATCGGGACCGATGGTTTCTGGCCGAGCTGTTCAATCTCAGTGTTTCATGAAGGACCTGAAAATGAAACGAGAAAAATCGGTTCACTTGCCGTGTCTCTGTAAGTTTCAGGAGCTCTTCAATTTGAAGGATGGCTTTTCCAGATATGCAAAGCCCAACAAACCAACGACTCAAAACTACACGACCGGAAGAGCGAGATCACCACTTCGACGTCCAAAGGCCTCTCGCTCTTCCTCCTCTGGAGGGTCCTCCGCATGGTGACGCAGCCACATCAAAGGCAAATGTGACGCACGCGGCACGTGACGTCGCACGTGACGTCGCACGTGACATCTGACGAAAGAATCAGAAACGCAAGCCGTGGAGTCAAAATCCGATTTCCTTCATGAACATGAAACTCGCTGGCAAAGATGGATGCACAGAAAAATTGCACATAATTCAACAACGAAGTTGACAAGATCCGTACTAGAGTCTGGAGTCTGCTGGATGCTGTTGCTTCCACCCGAACAGGCTCAGACTCGACCATGGGCAAGCACCCAGTCACCTATATAGCAGTTCCTATCAGCACAAAAATGGAGCATACCCTTTCCTCCTATTAGCTTGGAAGGCATCACTAGTAGGTTGGAGGCCATCACTACTACGGTGGAGGCCATCGCTCTTAGGTTGGAGGCCATCGCTAGTAGGTTGGAGGCCATCACTACTACGGTGGAGGCCATCGCTCTTAGGTTGGAGGCCATCGCTAGTAGGTTGAAGGCCATCACTACTACGGTGGAGGCCATCGCTCTTAGGTTGGTTGGAGGCCATCGCTAGTAGGTTGAAGGCCATCACCACTACGGTGGAGGCCATCGCTCTTAGGTTGGAGGCCATCGCTAGTAG